TTTAGGGTTTTTGAAAGGGTTTATAACACCTTAATAAACCCTTTAAAAGGGTTTGTGACACGTTGCACTTTCATAAACCCTTTTTTCGTTTTTTATTCTACGGATATTTTTTACAGTGTATGTACTATCATGTAAAGTCATGTACTCTGAGAATGTATCCGAAAAAACTTAGAATAGGTGGTTATGTACTATCGTATATAATCATGTACTCTGATTAACTGTTTGAATTAAGCCAGGCAAGGTAGATATGTATGAGAACTAATATTGATCAAATCGATCATATGATAAAATATTCCGCATCTCTTTTCATATTCAACTATCAAGAATTCCATTTCATCGTCTTTGCGTAATAGTTTATTAAAATCACTTTTTCGCTTTTTTACGTAGAACTAAAAAAAACAGATTCGTATTCTCTACAAAACAAATATATGATGATTGAGTTTTAAAAAAATTGAAAGTTTTCTTTTTTACAATTTAATACTCATACTAAGACGTGATTCTTTTGAAAAATTGACAGTATATTTGCATTTCTAAATACTTTCCACCTTCGAACAAATGCTTTCGTTTTTATTATTAGCAAATTCTTTTTGTTCTTGAATGTAAGAAAAATTTCGGATGATCTTTTGACCTGCATAGGAAGAAACATGTTGCTATCTTCTCACTGTAAATATCCTCCTTTCAGTAGAGGGAATCAAGAACAGATAGTGACTTAACAACGTTTTTTACATCAAGGACGTACAAAAAAAGGAAGTTTAACGTTTACTTGTTTCCGCTGATGATTCACTGTCATACAGAATTGACACAGACTTCCGGATTTCATCAGACTTATCCTTTTTTTTACAACGCCAGTAATCATTTCTTCTTCAAAGAAGTCCAATATATAATCGCAAAACTACCAACTCTCACATTCCGGAATTATTCACTGTCAAATTAGTAAGCCAAGATTTCATACAAATACTCCGATTTAACTGAGCACAACTATCCAAACACTAAAGCACAACAAAAACTTATGGTGTAATGATAGTTGATGACTGGGTCACATAATATCTTATCAATGATATATCGCAGTACATGATAGTACATAATAGTACATGACAGTACATGACTTTACATGATATTACATACCCACCTATTCTAAGTTTTTTTGGATACATTCTCAGAGTACATGACTTTACATGACTTTACATGATATTACATGATAGTACATAGCCACCTATTCTAAGTTTTTTGGATACATTCTCAGAGTACATGACTTTACATGATAGTACATGATAGTACATAGCCACCTATTCTGATTTGTATAGGTATATAATTTTACAGAGTAAAAATTGTATTTGTATTCACGCAGCCCTCCAGGAACCCCATCCGCAGGTATATATTTTAAATTCGTTAGTTTTTCGTTGAAAGCTTTTCTGTCCTGAACATGGTCAATCGTTTCGCTCAACAGTTCACACCCTTCCATTTTTAGTCGTAACGCAGTATACCGCTTTCAATTCAAATTTTTATCGTGACCATTTTCGCATTACTGTTTTTTCGCAACAATATAACTTTGTTGTACCATTGGTGGAATTTTTTAATTCTCAGAGAATTATTGGACATGCCTTTAAAACGATAAGATTTTTCCAAAGTCAATGGTCAATTAACTGAGCCGCCATACACTCTCAAAGATTCGCCTGAAGCCCAAGCAAAATCATCTGATGCTAAGAAAACAGCAGCACGCGCAATGTCATCCGACTGGGCAAGGCGATCGAATGGTGTCTGCGCGATAATTTGCGCTTCAAAGCTACTACCAATAAGTCCAGCAGCACGACTGCTTTCCGCGATGGTCGTACCGAGTCTGATAGCATTCACACGTATTTTGCGTGGGCCCAGTTCTCTTGCAAGAACTACAGTTACTGCATCCACAGCTGCGGAGCCGGTGATTGCGCCGTTTGTGACACGATCAAAATATTTTACAGCTTCTCTACTGCACAGGATAAGACCAAGCACATTGACGCTGAAGTGTTTATGATAATGTTCAACTGTAACGTTCTCGATCGATCGAAACTCATATACACCTGCGTTATTGACCAAAATATCAATCCTACCATAGGCTGTTTTAACTCTGACGAAAAGACATTTGATGTCTGCCTCTTCCCTTACATCGGCTTGAATTGAAATTGCTTTGCCTCCTCTGCTAGCAATATCATTAACAACGCGATCAGCATCTTGTTGACTCGATAGATAGTTAATGACAGTAGATGCTCCTGCAAGGGCGAGATGTTTGGCAATAGCAGCACCAATTCCTTTGGGTGATCCTGTTACAATCGCTACTCTTCCATCAAGCTTGCCACTCTGTTGGTTTTCTAAAATACAACTATTCATTAATACTACATTTGTGATGTAGTATTTTGTAAAACACGATTGCGACTAAGTGTTGAAGTCTATATTTAGAAAAGAGATGCAGGACTGGTCAAACGTATCCTCCCATCCTAGGATCTCAGTTCCTATGAGAGCTAAACTTCTGGAAATTTGTATACAGGTAGTCCTCAAATAATGTATCTTAGCGGTGACCTCACCAAGGTTATGGATGCCGACTATCGCAGCTTATTTTTAGGTTGAGGGATTTTGACGGTGAGTCTACCGCTAAGGTTTTTCCCAGGTCAGAACAGGTACCAGTCTGAAGCAGTCTGACCGAATATGTTCGGCTGGTAGACCGGCACGAGTCCTTATTCATCTTGCTCGCCTTGGAAGGTACCCATATATCTTTGGATGGATCATATTTGTCTCTGAATCACTGCAGATATTATTTAAGGCTTCATTATCACTGTTACAGTGCTTTTGTGAAGCATGCGTGTCAATGCGCATTGAAATTTAGATGGAAATAGAGAACTGCAAGAGAATTTAAAAGATTGCAGACCTTTCTGGATCTTCATAATCGAAGTCTCAGTTGTTTTCTTCTTCGTTAAACTATACGACGACATTATCGCATCCATCTTCTCGAGTTAATTCGAAAATCAGCTGCTATGATGCTGTTAGTCTTGTAACCTAGTGACACAGATTTTGATGGTTCAAGTGGCGTAGTAGGGGCTTGCGACACGCTGCCTTTTAGTCTCGTAATGATCTATCATTTAAATAATCAGATTTTTCCTATGAATTCCTAACATAGCAGCTACACTAGTCTTCAACATTTTTGTTCTGTAAGCATTGCACTGAAAACTTGTTTTTCATTAACTTGTTTCTACAGGTTTTCTCTCTTTCAGCAATTACGGATGGGTATAGAATTTCAGATGACTACATATTCTATACTAGTATTCTAAATTAATGAAATATTCGTCAAGCACAAAAATTATGAATCGAATGTAGAGGTGCTTGGCGTCTTGAAATAGTTTTTTTTTGTTATCTACTTTGTCTTTGCGAAATAATTATATTGAATGAATCATACAAAATGAAATCAATTTCGTCAAGAATTATAGTGACCAAGTGATTTCAGTGTTTCTATGATATAACTGCGTATGCAAATGATTTGTTATAGAATATTAGGCAAATTTTGATGAATATCACTTCAATAAAAATATGTTAATCTATGTTTCTGGATGAAAATAATAGCTGATGGGTGGGTGTGGCCGTGGATTTGATGGTAAATGAAGCTTAGACAGATGTGTTGCTTAGTGGAGCAGAGTGAAAGTAGATGAGTGTGACCGCTAGTAGATGGGTATAGATGAATATGCAGAAAAGCCAAGATTCACAGATTCTCTTCATGTGTTTTTTAAACAAATGAATCCAACGAGTTCAATCTTATCTGCGCGAAATTTTTCGATGACAAATTATGCAAAACGGGAAATAGTTTAGCACTGTTGTAAATGAAATGATTTTCTAAGGCACTATGATGGAATGTTAATAGAATAGACATTCTCAAATGCTCTCGAAAATTAAGCAAATTCTGTTTTACGTTTTCTTCGATTAATTAAGTATTGACTTTCTTGCCTAGCATCTCGTTCAAAAGAATAAAGAAAACTGAGCACCAGAAAAACCCTCTCGACTGTTATATATAGCATTTCCATTAAAAACAATTTGAGAAATATCAATTTGGAAGCCAGTGTTTTCAGAACTTTTATCAATATTCAAATGTGAACCTTTTTAACAAGGGGTTATCGATGTTTGTTTTCTCCAGATTAATTGTTTTTTAAGGGATTTAATTATGGCTCGGCGATTTATTAGAGCTTATCACAACTTACTGATTATAATTATATTTCAGTGCATCTGCGCTGCAGCTATGCATGTATGTACTGAGGAATCAAATGGAATCTATCTCGATATGCATTGGGGCTGATTGAAAAGTCCAAATAAAATAATTTCTGGTAGTTGCTATTGGAATCAGCGTCCTAAACCGAGTCGAAGAGGCGTTCACTTTTCGATTGAAATTTTTACTGAATGAATGATATATCCTTTGATTCGATGTTTTAACTGTGGTTTCCAGTATGACATTCGTTTTCCTTGGAAATAAAGTTTTCCTGTGAAAATTGTCTAAGACAAGCTCATTTTCTGGTAAACGTTAGCCTTATTTTGCGTTTTTAACATTGGACAAGTAATTTACAAATACTTGTAACGCTTAAGGCTAGATTTATGTATTGATTTGTCCTTAACCTGCGTATTTTGTCTTTAATATGTGCATTTCGCCTTTAGTTCTGTCCTTAGCTGAGACGTTGCATTTTGAATATTACCTTAAAATCATCACTCTGCAGTAATAGATCACACACGATTGTAACCTTTAATATTCACGTATATATACTGTGTGGAATAATATCTCAGGCCGAACATTCCGGCCACTGGATCCCGTAGAATACTCCAGGAAATATGCGGGAAAGTCACCGTATCCTGCAGGAAAACATGGGAAATCGCTGGAACATGGAAGCAGTATTCCGGTCAAAAATACGGCCGGACTTTTCCGGCGAATTCTTGCCAAGTTCCGGTGCTTTTCTGCAGGAATTGATCGGAAATCAACGGAAAAATTTCCAGCCGGAATACTTCTTCCACAAAATCAACGGAACTACCCGAAACCGGTCGTTTCCAGGCCGGGCTGTTCGACCTGGGATGCATTGTGGATGATTAATTTGAAGAAGAGAAAAAAACTAAGCTGTATGTGAATCAACACTCTTTCTATCAAAATTCGTGACAATATTTCTTGCAAAATAGAAAAATGTGAGCATTTTCTGAATAACTTTCCATAGAAACCAGATAGAAAACTGCGGTTTGCACAGTTTCATGGAGAAGATGAAGCTACATCGAATCGTGTATATCCAATTTTTCCGGAAAGTTTTCTCAGAGTCTGCTGTCGATCTATTTCAAAAACATTGGCTTTGAGTAGACTTATACGATGGATTTTTCGTTAAAAACTCAGAAAAACAGTCAATTTGTATGAAAAATCTGGCAATAATATGCAGTGCAATGCGTATAACTCATGATTGGCTTAATCTTCTGGCATCGGATTTATATAATTCATTGATTTTCAGTTAATGATTCTAGTGCGCTCCTGAAAATCGAAACTGTAAAACTTTTATATTAAACAGCTTTTTTTCTTAATAAACTCAATGGCAGACTCCAAAAAAATTAGCAGAAAATTCTAGTATACCGCATTCAATGCAGTTTCATCTCGTCTTTTAAACGCTGAAAACCGCAGCTCTCTATCTAATTTCTATCGAACGTTATCAAAAGATACCGGTAAAAATTTATTGGTTCTAAAAAACAATATCTCTATTTTCGTTTATTTGGATGATTTGAAATTGTGTTCCGTGGTTTCCCTTGTTCTCCAGATCAAAGAAACTTTGACGTTAAGCTTGATGTCTTTTGTTCTTATTATGTTGCAATATTTCTATTATGTAATAATATAGCTGTTGTGTATTTTATAATACACGATATTATCACTAAATATATATATATATATATCTGTTGTTGTTGGTTTCTTTATAGGTTCATCATTATGTGATTTTCACGTTCAATAAAACGAAACTTACAATACTCATAGTTTTCTTTTTTTGAAATGGATATTAGTACCAATAATAGAGCACATTGCGAAAAAAATCTATCTTGGCGAGATACGTTTTGTGAAATTTCTAGTTAAAAGATCTAACATTTGTATCGAAATGAATATTTACCAAACACAATTTTAGAAACTTGTGTTTACTTAAGTCGACATATTCGTAATGCTATCTTTAGTAGGTGATATATATTTCTCGATTTTCAGTTTTTTTTTCTCTGTTGAATCATATGGTACGAAATAAAAGTGATAGTAAATTGCTCGAGAAAGAAGCACAATCGGAGTTATGTATGGTTAGAGGAAATTGGAGAATACGGATTTTATTGAAACCCATTATTTAAGCAGAAAATATATGTTATGTACATTCGAGTTGGATTGATGGATCGCCTCTTTATTGCAGAAAATGATTTAAGCGTATACTAAAGAAATAAAAACATCATTCTGCCCATCGTTGTATATAGGGTAATAATATATTATTTTTCTTTTTATGAAGAAATGATTTATTTAATAAACGCCTTGAATTCCTGTAGTTTCATAGAATAAACGTCCACACTGTGCTAATTATGATTTCCGGGTGTGCTTACTCGTGAATGCCAATGTTTCATTCGAGGTCACCGTGTTCGCTGTCATGTGAAGAACGACTACACTCAATATCACAATAATTAATCTTTTTGAAAAAACGACGTGATTACCTTCTGTCATTTGTGAAACAGTAGCAACTTACTGTTGTTCATGTCGAGTTATGTTGAATAAAATGCTTGAACGTACGCGGAAATATAGTTTGCTAGTTATAAAAGAAAATAGGCCGATACACAAAAATAGTACGATCATTGACTACGACTTACTTTATCTCCTTGCTTCTGACACTGCTCAGTTCTCAGTTAAGATTTGTGGTTCATATATAGATGTTTCGACTGTCTCTTATACATCACCCAATGAAGTGTTTCACTTACAGTTTGTTAAATCTACCTTTCGATTCATATTCAAAGCCTTACTTTTCGATTCGCTGAAAGAATAGATACTCTTACATTTACAAATGGATTATGTGCTATGTAATTGAAGTATTAATCATTTGCGTGACGTAGATGACATATATGTTCGTATACCGATGCGCATAGAAAAAAGGAAGCAAATAAAAAACCGATATAGATGTGGCTCCTGTTGGAGAATATTTTTGAAAAGCAAATTACTGGGAACTTGACCATACTCCTCTGTGAACATTTCACTATATACTCAGTTTTTACTAGCTTTTCAATGATGTAACCTTATAAACGCGGCACGAAATAAAAACTTAGAACTAGTTGATATGTCTAGTGATGTTTTTACCAGATCGAATGTATCTTTGTTT